TTGCACTGAGACCATGAGGCAGAGCAGAGGACTTGCACTGAGACCACGAGGCAGCAAGAGCTTCCCGGTCCACAGAAGAGGGCACAGGCCGAGGGGCCACATGGATGAGCAGCCAAGGGCAGAGAGAAATATGCCTGCCAGGATGGCTGAGAAGAGGGACTTCAGACAAAAAAAGACCTGTATCCTTAACATTTTGTAATCTGCTAGCTTCTCCAATAAACCCCATAATCATGAGTATTGGGTGTGAGTTCTGTGTGGCCACTGCGATTAATGATCTGATAGGGTAGAGAAGTAGAGTGCCCTGGCAGGGATGTTTAGTGTCTGAAGAGGGTAAAGAAAGATGGAGGTAGAGGCATGTTTGACCTCTGTCTTAGGGCCAGCTTCCTTGAGCTGACGTGGAGCTGGAGTTATGTGATACTTTGTGTAGCTAGCGTAGGTCAGATGTAACCCCCATACCTTTTTCTCAAGGTTTTTTTTTGAAGTTTTGTTAGTGAGTAACTGGTGGAATAGAGGGAGACTATAAGTTTGTATAGTGTAAAAGGGGAGGGTTGACAAGAGCTAATGAGTCGAACACTTGCTGATCAGTCACACTGAAGCAGAAATTTCTGAGGCTAGGGACAGAGATTTAGAAGTTATTTTGTTTTAATGTAAATGATAGCAACCATAAGGATTAAGCTTCAAAAGGGCCCTAAGCCTCAGACCTTAAACATTTAGAAATTAGGGGGGGAAAGACATATCATTGAAAGATGGCAAGTAGGTTTCCTTTCTTGGACACAATCAGATGAAATGGCTGTCACATGAAGAAAGACTCATAATGAACAGTCCCTGTCATGGCACGGAAATCACTGCCGTCCAGACTCATCCAAAGCCTGAACACTAGTCCGTGGGCCCCAAATGAAGGCTTCAAACGTTAAGGTTGATCTGCCCACTCCGATGATACCCATGACATTGAACTATGTTTAAGTTTATAACATTTTTCAAATATTAAAAAAAGGAATGAAGGTTAATTCTGTGAGCAAATGAATTTATCCTGGCAAAGAAAACTTGACATTTGAAGGAGATTCACAAAATGAACTTTAACAGCCTTGCTTTAAACAAGCATGTGTAAATTTCACCTCAGTGGTCACAGAAGTCATTAAGGGGTTAAAAAGCATTGTCAACAGCGGGGTGGGCCGGCTTTGACTCCTGAGAGCAGACCTGCTGTAGGATAAGTTCTAAGGAAGTGAGAGAACTAGCCTTACAATAGACACCTAATTAGACATAAGGTTATTTTTTTAAGTGCCTGCTCTAAACCGTCTCATTTTTCAGGAACCTCTTGGCGACTAGAGGCTGGTTCAATAGGAAATCCACTCTTCTTTTGGAAAATCTCAAATTGGTTGCACTATTCTTACAGTGGGAGTCATAGCTGGTAGTTGAGCTATGCAAAATCATTAAGTTCAGTAAAGTTATTTATTTGCATGCGACAATCTTAAAGAGTTAACCAAATTCACAAATGAGCGATTAATCATAAATGCCCTTGGTGATATGATATAAAACAATTTTTTCTTATAAATGCTAAGATCATAAAAACATGATTAACTACAACATTAAGATAAATAACACACTATGTTTTCAGAAATACTTTTATGAGAATGCCAAGCCCATCTCTCTGACCTTTGTAGTCCATATTAATAGGGAAAGTATCTCTGAATGAAAAAAACAGCCCTTATTCACTGAACAAATATCTTTTTAATTGGACTCAGTATATGTGCATTTCCTTATCTTCATTGCTGTCTATTAAATAACCCTTTGCTTAACCCCTCTATTAACTTAAAATCATTCAGAGGTCTAGCCAATTATGCCTAGCAATTTTTGTGACTTACACAATTGGGAAACTTGTTATTGACAAAAAAAATTTATAATAAGTTGGTGAAAAAATATTTTGATACTGTCCTTGTTATAAGCTGTATTTCAGAAGAAGGAATCACAGAGGAGCTCTGCCCTGTCACTTGGACTATCCCAAACATTGCTCATGTTGAATATAAGCTCAAATTTTGACTGCTGTTTTACGCACATGATATGTTTCTTTAAGAAGAACTTCAGAATTATATATGGTGTGCTGTGGGATAAACATTGGAGTGGTGTCTGCAAGGTCTGAAGTTCAAACCCACCAGCGATGCTGTGGAATAAAGATGAGGCCATCTGCTTCTCTAAAATGCTAGAGTCTCGGAAATCCTACATAGGGTTGCTATGAGTAGGCATTGACTATGACAGTGAGCGTTTCACTGTCATTTTACAAGGGACCCTGGTGGCGTAGTGATTAAGTACTGAGCTGTTAGTCAAAATGTCAGTGGTTCAAACCCACCTGGCCTTCTGTGGGAGGTTATGACAGCCTGCTCGGTCAAGGTAACCCTACGGGTTAGTTTCACTCTGCTCTATAGGGACACTTTGAGGCAGAAATCTGTTTAATGGCAACAAGTCTGGTTTTATCCATTTTGAATGTTATATAGAAAATCTTAAAGTAGTAGGCATTTCTAGTGCCATTCAATATCCTCTTAAGAAGGGAGGATGTCAAGACCTTGTCTCACATTCTTCAACTGAGTTATTAATGGGATCGATACCTAGAGCAGGACATCATGCTTGGTTGGTGTAGTAGGAAGTCAGCAAAAAGAGGAAGACCCTTGATGATATGGGTTGACACAATAGCTGCAGCAATGGGTTCAAACACAGCAATGATTGGGAGGATGGTGTAGACTGGGGAATGTTTTCTGCTATTCATAGGAACGTTCTAGGTTGGAACTGACTCAATGATGCCTAACAAACTCTTCTTGTGTCTTTCTGTTCATTCTATTAATTATTGCTAGTATTTTATCACAATGTTACCTTTCCTTGCCATATGAGTCTGTGTATGTAGAAATTAATTTCACTAAATATCATCACATTAAGAATTATCTCAAAGAATGGATTTGGAAGTTAGGAATAAGAAAGAATTCCATATAAGTTAGTGATATTTGTTGAAAATAAAATAAAAAGAAATATGGTTTAGTAAGTACAAACTATTATGAGTCACATTTTTATTGATGTAGGTAGTTCATTTCATTTCATAACATAGAAAAGAATTTGACTATATCCAAGTCTAATACTAGAATATTTCCTACTATCTTCACTGGACATTTAGAATTTTTTATAAAGCCTTTTAAAATACTTATTTTGAGGTTAATGTTTATTAGATTACTTACTCTTCTTCCTTTAGGGCCTTGACTCCCTGGGGGTCCTCTTGCCCCAACATGACCCTATGTGTTAAAAATATTATAATCAGTTAATAAAATTCAAGAAATGTAAGTCAGAGTTTTATCTAATTATCTTAGAGAATTCTTAAAATAAAATTTATTTGTCTCTTAAAATATGTTCAAACTACCAAACAAAGATCACCCCTCCCTCCATCAATTTCCTGTGCTTATGATGTGTTGTAAGTTGAAGACATGTTATTCCTCTAGGCAAAGAATAGGAAGCTCTACATAGTCATTGACCAGGCAGGTAGTTTTCAGGAGGAATGTGGAGTGACAGTTGGGAAGGAGACACCCATTTAGTCACTAAGGCCCGTAACCAGCCTAGTCCAATGAGGAAACAGTGGCTATCACTGCAAGGCACCTGTCTCATTACTCCCATTATTCTGCACATGTACGACATCCTGTCACATACACATTTTTTTCTATTAATATACCACAAAATATTCCTAATTTAATGTGCCATAAAATCCTGAAATAAAGAATTTTCTATAAATTTGCTATTTATTAAGTTAATGCTAATGAATTACTATTTTTTCTTACCATCTTAAAAAAAACTCTATCAGAAAACAAAATTTATAAATATATGTAAAATTAAGTCATTAAAAAGGAGTCAAGTATCATAGGATTTGAAGTTTATTTTTTCTTTTATGTGATTAAAGAGATTGACAATAATCCCTAGGTATTCTTTCCTAAGTGAAGACGACAACAATATATCCAGGAATACATTAGAAAATCAGGCTTATTTTAAAAACAGAAGTTTCATAAAACTTACCATAAATAATTTCAACTCAAGATACATAAAGGTTGAACTTTATCTTATTTAAGATCACAGCTGTCAAATTTCAATAGGTAAAATGTATCTCATTGGCTATATGCTTTTATTATCTTTCCTAAAAAATATTTTGAAATGTAATATTATTTAATGAAGATTTATCCCCAATGGATTTTATCTGATTGCGAATAGCTGTGAATTTTTAATGCAACATGTTGGAATTTATGCTTGTGATTTATGCTCATCCAATTGGTCTTGTTTCTCCTTTTGATCTCGGCTTCCTTTTCTTATATGTGGTTATTCACAATAAAGTTTCAACATTTGGAATTTTTAGTTTTGGGCTTCAGAATTTAAATTGGTTGTATTGACTATTAGAAACTAGTAATAAAGAACATGAGGCCCTTCAAAAAAAAAAAGTTCACGGAAAATAATCCCTTATTTTTAATTTCATTTTTCTACGGACTTTTAAAAATTCGCTCATTATAGCAAATTGTAGTGAAGAAGCTCAAGATACTAGAAATACTCTCAATTTACATTTGACTCATTTTTCTTTAAAAAAGTACAGCATAGTGAAAGTGATGGATTTTCACTTTAAAAGGTTGTTCTAGAAGGAAACATGATCTTTTCTATACTTACCGGTAAGCCCAACGGACCCATGGGTCCTGCATTCCCAGGAGGACCAGGATATCCCTATAATTCACATGAAAATATAAAAGACAAAATTTTCACCAGGCCGCATTGTTTTAAGAAGTACAAGTGAATTACTGTGTAAATATTAACACAATGTGACAACTTGATAACAGCTCTCTTTTCTCTGCATGATAAAAGAGGGTTGATTGTAGGTACTACACAATTCTAACCAAAAGAGAACATATTAAATAGGGGAAAAACAGTCTTCTATGTACTTTCAAAAACCAAACTAAATTCACTGCCTACGAGTTGGTTCCGATTCCTAACAATCCTGGAGAACAGGGGAGGTCTGTTCCTGCGGGTGTTCGACATTGGAAAGCTTGATGGCACAGAAGGATTCCTCTCTCTCTTGGGATGACTGGTGGTTTCAAACTGCTGATCTTGCAGTTAGTAGCTCAACATGTAACCCACCATGCCACCGGGGTCCACATGCTAACACAGACACTATAAATTTGTTCATGGGAAGGCCTTTACCTAAAAAGTAAAACTATTAGCCAGACTATTCCAGAAGAAAAAAATGTGTCTCATCTTTCTACAGGTTGCATTATTGAAAACATAAATATATCTTGTGTACATTATGGTATTTAACAATATTATTTTTAGACCGGTCAGGGAATTGTACAATTTTCTTAAGTCGATCAGTCCAAATGAGTTAGTCTGTCAAATCTTAGAAGGACTCCAACACTTCGTGGTGTTAGCATTGATTCAGAATCTCTGTGGAAGTATCTGCTCTTGAAATTAATTAACCTTATATGTATGCTACATTTCCTAGCTGATAGCACTTGGAGATATCTAAAAACAACATTTTGAAGCATTTCTGATAATACAAAAATTACAATGATAAAATGAGTTTATAGTATCATACAACACTACATCATCACAAATATTTTCTGAAAGCAAGATTCCTCTACTGATAATAATTATTTGTTCACTTCTTATCATATTTGGAAGCTGCTTAATAAAAAATGCAACTCAATAAAAAATTTCCAATTTTTATTATCCTAAAAATACAAGAAAATAAGATGAATTCTCCAAGAGTCTCATCACACAAATTCATGGAGCACCAGGGTGACATATGTCACCTAAACTAGAAGACATAGAAGACTACATTGAATCCTGAGAGAACTCTCTTTTTCTGTGTGTGTGGTCTAATTCTCTTCAGACTATGCACCTACTTCTCATGATCTCCTACCTCCTTAGCTGACATTTCCTCTTTAGTTTTCTGAAACCTTGTTGTGGTTCCTCCACCCCCACCCCCCCTGACATTAGCTACAATCCCCTCAGTGTAACAGCACTTCTGCCCATGGTCCCCATTTCTATTTGTCCTTTCGGTCCCATCTGGTGTTCTGAAATTCCTTTTTGGGAAAATCCTGACCTTAAGGCTGGAATGGTTCACTGTGCCCTCTAGAGGCCTGTTGTTTGCCTGGAAGGTAATCCCTGGAGGTGGCTTCAGTTGCATTTTGAAGGCTGGTGGCTAAGGGCTATAGTCTTGAGGGTCTCACCAGTTTCTATTAGACCAGTGTGGTAGGTACCTAATCTGGTGTCAATTTGGGACTTGAGAGGATTAAGAGTGAAGGGGTCTATCAATCCGGTCAGAGCCAATGAGGCCTCTGTGTGGGTTTGGCCTTCTCCTGAGAATTCTGGAAACTCCTGGATTTCATCCTTGGAGAAGAGACATACACACACTCTTTGTCTATGCTGACTCCCGGGAGAGACAGTCTACTGACAAGACACATGGCACTACACTGATAGACCCTGTTCCCTGGGAACTGGAGGAGCCACATAGAGACCCCTGCCAGCGCCGAGATGCTTATACCACCATTGGATCCACAAAACTTAGAAACCCACTTGCCTGTGACCTTCCTGTATTCAGGGTCATTGCATGTGTTTCATGAGTCTGAAGAGGACTTTATGGATTGGTACTGGACATATGGGCTAGTATCGAACTTAGGACTGGGCTGGCATGTTTTCTCAATATTCAATTGCTCTTGTATATAAACCTCTTTCTTTTTAAAAAAAATCATTTTATTGGGGGTTCGTACAACTCTTATCAAATCCATACATACATCCATTGTGTCAAGCACATTTATTTCCCTCATCATTCTCAAAACATTTGCTTTCTACTTCAGCCCTTGGTATCAGCTCCTCATTTATACACATATGGTGTCTATGAATTTGTTTCTCTAGCTCAGTGCTTCTCAACTTTCGTAATGCCGCAACCCTTTAATACAGTTCCTCATGTTGTGGTGAGTCCCAACCATAAAATTATTTTCGCTTCTACTTCATAACTGTAATTTTTCTACTGTTATGAATTGGCCGATCCCTGTGAAAGGGTCGTTGGACCCCCAAAGGGGTCGTGACCCACAGGTTGAGAACCACTGCTCTTGTCTACCCAGACTAACACAATCAGTAAGTCTGGATGTCTTTATGGTTTTGAATTTTGGTCTACGTTTTTCTCGCCATATCCAGCACCTTATACTGTGAGCCCAAAGAAAGCAATTGGTAGTGGTAGCTCGGTACAATTTCGTTCTTCTGGTTTCAGGGTAGCGGAAGCTGTGGTTTATGTGGCGCGTGAATCTTTTGGATGAACTGTTTCCTTGGGTTATTGCTTTTCTTTACTCTTCTCTGTTCTGGGCAGGGACAGACCCAAAGTTGCACCTTAGGTGGCCATTCGCAAGTTTCAAGGCCCGAGTCAGGACTCGCCAGAGTAGGATGGAGAGCATTTTTACGGACCACATTAGCCAGGCCCAGGGACTCAAGCCCTCAAAGTGTTTGCTTTTCGATAAGAAGTTTGTATAAATTTTGCTTTCTACATGTTCTACTATCTACACGAATATATTTGCAACACATACAAATATGTATGTAGAAATGCCAACTGTCAGAACCATCCAACACCTGTCTAGCTTGCATGCCTGGTTATGTATCCATTTATTTATTAGTGTTTGCTAGTACTGTTATTGCAGGACTGTGTATGCAATAGTATAAATACATGTGCTCCATCAAGGTCAATACACTTCTGAAGGTGGCATTTCCACCTCTCTAATCATTCTCTAAAGAATTTAGCAGTCTTCAATTTACACAGCATCAGAATGGCAGTTTTGGTGGTTGTAGGGCCAGATCAGGATTATAGGACGAACACGGCAAGGTTTCCCACCGAAATTCTCAAAGGACAGCATTTTCTACCCTCCAAGAATTAGCAGATACATACATAATCATGATGAAGGGAATTTCATTGGCATCATGTTTCTCTTAAATACTGTTTTAAATTAAAAAACTCATTTTCATAATAAGCCCTCATGCTCATCCTGTGTCCTTCTAAACATCCATCATGATTTTGGTGTCAAAAACAAAAAGATGAAATAAACTCTGAGCTGACATCTTTGCCTTGGATGGTTCAGCTATTCTCAAAGAAGCAGTTTGGACTAGACTTGTTTTTACGTACTGTGACAAGAATAAGATCAGTGTCCTACGGATAGACTTTATCTGCTGTCATTTATGGATAGCAGAGACTTGTTTCAACATGTTTTTTTATTGAAAGATCATTTTATTGGGGGCTCTTACAACTGTTATTACAATCCATACATCAATTGTATCAGGCATATTTGTACATATGTTGCTATCATTCTTTTCTAGACAATACATTTTCATATCTCACACTGACTGCTGTATCCCTTCCCCCATGGTTTAAGTTGTTCTTCCCCCTGGAGGGGGTGTGTGGCTATGTGTCAATCATTATGATTTGTCCTCCTTTTCTCACCCCCGCCCCTCCCTTCTGGTATCACTATTCCCTTTCCTGGCCCTGGATTCCATGTGTCATGAGCTCTTATCTCTTATCTATACCTGTGTACATGCTCTGGTCTAGTCCGAAGTGAGAAGCAGCACTGGGGTCATGGTAGTGGGGGGTGAGGAAGCCTCAAGGAACCAGAGGAATATTGAGTGTTTCATTGGTGCTTTACTGCCCCCTGGTTGACTCATCCCTTCCCTGTGACTCCTCTGTGGGGGGATGTTCCATTGCCTACAGGTGGGCTGTGGGTCTCTGCTCTGCTCCCCCTCATTCTCAATGATACAGACTTTTTTTTTAAGAACCCATGCATGGGTGGACTGGAACCTGTTTATGAATCTCCTGGTGTCTTTCTTTGCTTAGTTGATGCGATGTTGACCTCCTTCTTATTGTATATTGCCTTTACCCAGACCCAAGTCAATACACATATACTCTTTAGTGATTTTCCTGCCCTCTTCCTCAGATGGCTGATAGCCATCAAAGAGTGTTTCTTTCTGCGTGTAAATCTTTCTTGTCTTTTTATAACAGTGGCCTCATACAATATTTGTCGTTGACTTATTTCACTCAGTATTAATGTCTTCCAGCTCTATTCCATGTTAGAAGGTGTTTTGCAGATTCATTATTTATCTTGTGTAATATTCCATTCTGTGTGTACTAAAATTTGTTTACCCATTCATTCATTGGGTGGCAATTTAAAAATTGGCAGATTTTTGAATTGTACCAACTTTTTGCAACTGTGACTAATGCTGTGGCGAACATGGGTGTGCGTACATCTATTTGGGTCCTGGCTCTTATTTTTCTAGGCTACGTACCTATTAATGAGATTGCCGGATCAAACAGGACCTTTATTTCCAGCTTTTCAAGGAAGTTTCTTGCCTTTCGCCACAGTGATTGTAGCAATTTACATTCCTACCAGTAGAATCCTAAACTCCTCATAATCTCATCATCATTTGTCATTTTGTTTCCTAATTTTTAAAATTAGTGCCATTGTTGTCAAGTTGGGATGATATCTCATTATAGCTTTGATTTTCATCTCTCTGTTAATGAAGAAGCCCTGATTTTGTAGTGGGCTTTGCAATAACTGCAAGCTCACCCACTCAAAACCACCAGATTTTCTACTCCTGTAACAATTGACAGTCTTGAAAACCCACAGGGGGCCCCTTCTATGCTTTCTGATAGGGTCTCTATGAGTCAGATTGGACATGACGGCAGTGTCAGATGTTGCTGTTGTTGCTGTTTAAGAGTTAATAATCTTGAGCATTTCTTCACATGTTTGGCCACCTGAGTGCCTTTTATCTGTTCATGTCTTCTGCCAATTTTTAATTTTGATATATTTTTTAGATGTGCTGAAGTTTTCTAAAATTTTAGAGATTATCCCCAGGTCAGATATGAAATTTCACATTACCTGACTGCTGAACACATTACTGATATACTTCTAGTGATAACAAATGCTTAGGCCTGAAGCTGCATGTGATGGTTAAGGTTTTGTGTCACCTCTGTGGACCACAATTTGTAGTTAGTTATATAATGATTGAATTTACAGTTATGTGATGATGTAGCCATCCTCCATATTTGGATAATGCTGGTTCTTGTATAATGATGTGGTCTTTGGAATCTAACTATATCAATAATGAAGGCATAGGTATAGAATTTTTTTACTAAACTGGTTTCCATAATTTTTAATGCCACACAATATTCTGAAGGGTAAACTCAAGAAGACAAAAAAGATGCTAAAATAAATTTACTCAAAAATAATATATTTCAATTCTTATATTCTAGTCAGGGCAATTCCAACCCAGGAATGCTTCAACTATTTTAGGCTTTGGAAACATACTTTTCAAATCACTGGGTTCTTACCATGACACCTTTTTCCCCTTGGGGGCCCAGGGGTCCTGGACTTCCACGCTCTCCCTTTTAAAACAACAAAGGAAAAAGAGGAATATTGAAGTAAGTTGGTAGAGTTATACTTTATTTTAACTTACACAGAAAAATGGTCATTCAGAATCATACCTTGCACATAAATCTTAGCATAATTCCCAATTATTTTTTCATTTATAAAATGTTCATTTTACCCAAATATTGTATTTTAAAATATAATAAAAATTCTCTTAAGATGTTTTTCTTGGGATAAAAATCTAAAAGTCTTATTGAGATGAGAAAAGAACAGGAATTATGCATAAATAATTAAAACTTAACATTAACCATATATTATATGATACGCTTTTGTAAGGTGAAAATTCTAACAACTTCATAGGGACACAAAATATAAGAATATTGAAAGCATCAAAGTCTATTATAAAAATTAAAGATTTAATCTGTACAACTACTGAATAAAACTATTTCTATAATCTATCCAACACAGGTATCACAGAAATAATTTTGGAGATTTATGATAATCAAATCTGAATTAGCAAATTTAAATGATTCATATTAATAGTCTCTGGATTATTAAAATTGTAGTATAGAAGATTTGACCAAGAACACAAGCAACTAAATTAGAATGAAGGAAGATAACTATAAAATGATCTTTTTTTAATCTGAACTCTCAATTTTATTTGTATTCGATTGATACTGTGAATAAAATTCAATGAGTATAAGTATTTTCAATGTAACAAAGGAGAATGATGAAAAATGTAAACTTTTCTTAGATTCTGTCTTTAAGTAATTCTAAAGATGATGTTAACAGAGATGAAAAATTATTAGATGACAACAAAATTTTAACTGTATTGTACTTATTCTAAATCCAGAAGAAAATAAATCAAGAAAGATTTACAAGAACCTGGGGAGACTTGTGGAGAAATAATGGAGCTGACTCTTATGGTTTGGTTTGTGATAAATAAAGGGAAAGGACAATCTAAACTAAGAAAATCATAAGTCTGTGAAGAGGAACAAGTCCATTATATGTAAGGCAAGGGAGAGGAGGAAGATGTATATTAGAAGATTTATTAAATAAGCTGCTTGAGTTAAAATTCAGTCATCTCTTGACAGCAAAGTGGAAACGTCGTAGGGGTGGCAACACGGAGCCAATTATGCTTTACAGGAAGTTCCATCATCGTGACTCATCAAAGTTAGCATTCTAGAATCGGATGTAAGGTCAAGATAAGGAGAAAGGAGCAAACAGCACAAAACATATGGCTGAGGGTGGATTCAGGTGTGATACAACAGGGTCTATCTAAGGGGATAGCACTGAACTAACTAATTTAAAAGCCGAATGGTAAAAGTGGATCGGTTACCACTACCACTGCCATTGAACTGATTCTGGCTCATGGTGACTCTACAGGGCAAAGGGCAAAGCTGCTGCTGGGGATTTCTGTGACTGTCAATCTTTACATGAGCAGAAAACTTTGTCTTTCTCCTGACGGATCTCCTGACTTTTATTAGAATTTAAAATTCCCATGGGAACAACTGGGGTGTTGTTTAGTTCACTTCCAGTCTTGACTCTACTTAGCTCCAGTCATGCATCGCTGAAAGTCCAAGGTATGATCTATCAAACAGAACATTACATAATTTGGAGGTTGTGCATATACCATATGATAGTTGGGTCTTGCTTTTTGCTTTAAGCATCTAGAGCAAGCATCTTGTCTTTGTAGTGATCACCTAAATGTTGAGAGGGGTTCACTTTTGCGTTTGGTCCTCAGCCCCTATTCCCAGCAGTTCCCCCATGTCTGACAGAGGTACCTCTCATATTTTTGTTAGCTTTTCAGATTTCAGTGGAGCTCATCTTTAACAGCTTACAGAAATCTCTCTTTGTATTTGAGGGTTGTCATGGTTGTAGAGTGTGTCATGCCTAAATTGTGAACGATAGCATTATGTGATTTTCCACCTTTGTTCTGTTTAATAACCTTGCTTTTCATTTTCAAATCGATCATTCTCTTTTGACTATTGCTAACGCTGTCAAGAGCTCTGGTTTTGCTGCAGGAACCATGATGCATTTCACAGTAATATTTTCAAAAGAACATTAAACAGAGAGATAATGCTACAACATTCAAGATTGGACGTGTCTGCCTACATGACAAAGCAGACATTGTTACATGGCAAAACTTTTTAGATAGAAAATACAGTCCAGTATATACATATGCCGGTAACATATGCATCTATTTCAACTATCAAGACATATATTTCATAGGTGATACATAAACTGTACAATCCTGTGCTTGCCTATATAATGTACGTGAAAGATACAAGGTACATTTTTTAAAGATGTGTTTTGTACAGGAAGCTGTTACCTTTACTACCTACCGTTCTCTGATCTGGATTTCTGAATGCTATAATGACATCCTGGGACCACAGAACTGTACGCAGTTGAGCACTGCCCAAATGGAAATGATGAAGCACACGACTGTACTTTCAACCAGTAGCCACTTGTAGCAAGTGCCAGAGCACTGTGCTCACAGGTCATATTCAGCAAGTCAGGTTGCAGTCAAATGTCTAAACGTTATGCTTTACTACCCCTTTGACCAATATAATGTATCCAGTTAACTTGAAAAAAATCAAAATATGCTCTTACTGGTTCCAATAATGACTTTTTAGTTTTATAAAATATCCTAAATCTGGACCTCAACATGGAAAGTCACTCTTGAGGTAATGATTTCTAGGTAATATTTATCCAAACTATAATTTCCATCATGTTATCCAGATTTACTCTACTGGGTTCTAACTGGCAATAAAGAGATTGTTACTGAGATTTGGATCAGCAAAAGCGATAACTTACTCTTCTCCTTGAAAATGGTACCCTATGGGGAGTCTGATCTCATAAAGGAGATTTAAATAATATTTTCCAGCCATAAACCTAGATTGCCAGTTTCACTTTTGTCTCTTCAGATCACAACTTTGCAAACAAAAAGGTACTCTACCATTTAAAAACAGAAACATACAATCTATTAATGTAAACTAAATATATTTACAACATTCACTACAGGTAATCTGTTCAAAATTATACTTAATTTCTAATATAAATATAACACGAGGAAGCAACATCATGAAAATATGGCTGAGTAAGAAATTTCAGGTATCAATCCTATCTTCAAAAGAATCATTAAAGGGAAACGATCATAATAACCTTTTAAAATTCTGAACACTGGTCAGACAATTTAAGCAATCAGTTGATGAAGAGAGAGACTGCCGAGCCTCAGGAAGCGTGAACCAGCTACCATACCCCTGACTCCACTCAAGTGCAGCCTTGGGAATGGCAGATGGTGTTAGAGCAGCTGACTGGAGAGAGATGGTCAGTAAGAATGATGTCCTCTACAGGTTTGCCACTGTGTGTTTTGGTCAGTCTGACAGTGCCCCAAGATACAAGTGCAGAGGCTTGTTTTTATTTTGGCCCTCTCAGGCACCTTCCCAGTGGCATTTTATAAAAATTTAACAAGATTTCCTTTTTAATCCAAAAAATTTTAAGAAAATTCCTGTCAAGTCATAGACCATTCATAGAAATAACTGAATGGAAACTGTGTCCATAAACAATAAGGAATACAGATATCATAATTATAGTTTGGAAAAGTTACTGTGCAAATAGAGAATTAGCTGCAGCCCTCAGCAAGCAACATCATTTTGAAGGAGATGATCTTATTTCAAGAGTTACCACATTACAATACCCAAATGTCCATTTTTTATTTTAAGAAGTACAAGTATAGAAAGGAAGAAGAAAATATGGTTCACTCATAGAGTAAAACAGAACTTGACAGAAATTATTCATGGAAAAGCTGGGAAATGAGAAATAATTAGTCACAAATGTTGACACAATGTATGTTTACTAATGGAATACACAATGAAAGAGTGAAACGCAGCCAGGAGCAAGCTGTTTGAGCAATTAGGGAATGTCCGTAAAGAGAGAGAAACCGCACCAAAGAACTAAACAGAAATTCTGGAGAAGAAAAGTGCAATAGACAAAATAAAAACAAGCAACCAAAGCAAAATGATCATGAGAGAGAGAATCAGTGAACTTAGGTAGAAGACAATTGAAATGATCTCATCTCACAAGTAGAACAAAAAAGATCATGAAAGACAAATGGAACCGGAGAAAACTGTGGGACACTATTAAATGCAATGACACATGGATCCTGAATGTTGCAGAGAAGAAAAGGGAGATATATATATGTACATATATGTATGAATAGTGTGTATAATACACAACATACACACAAACATTACTGTTTAAATACTGCATATATTATATGTTTATTGTACTATTTACATGTATATGTAAATAATGACACTAGACTTCCCAAGTTCAATGAAAGACATGATGTTACACATCCAAAAAATGCAATAAAATCTAAACAGGACAAACTGGAGCTGCACACTGGGATGAATTCTAATCAAATTGTTGAAAGGCAAAGAAAAAGAGACTCTTCACAGCAGGAAGAGAGACTATGACTTGTCACACATAAAGATGCTTAATAAAATTTACATGTTTCTCATCAGAAACCATGGAAGCCCGAATACAATAAGATTACAAGCTTACAATTCTGAAAGAAATAAAAAGTGCCAACTAAGAATGTTCTAAGCTATTTCTGCCTAAGTTATTCTTAAGTCATGGAGAAATTGGGCATTCTCTGATAAACATAAAGTCAAATTGTCATGACTTTTGATTTGATAAGGTTTAAATATGGCATAAAAACAAAAGCAAGAAAAGAAAAAAAGACAAATTGAACTTCATGAAACTTAAAATAATTTTGTGCACCAAAGGATACTACTTTATAGTCAAGAGGATGGGAGAATTATTTGTAAAACAGGTAAATGCGTTTAATGTGCGGAATATATAAAGATTTCCTACACTCACCAACAAAAAGACAACCGAATCACAAACAAGGTAAAGGACTTCTGAACCGACATTTCTTCAAAGAAGAGAGACAAATGTGAGTAAGAACATGAAAAGATGTTCAACATTATTAGTCATGGGAGAAATGCAGATAAAACTCATAGTAAGACACCACTTTATACTCACTAGACTACCTAAAATAATAGTTTTTTAAAATGGAAAATAGAAGGCTGGCATGGATGTGGAGCCCTTGTCTATTCCTGTCTGGAATTCGGAATAATGTAACCACGGTGGAAAACAGTTTGATGGTTGCTCAAAACGTTCCACAAAGCGTTCCCATATGATTCAGCACTTTAGTCCTAAAAATATACCCAAAGAGATTAAAATAGGGACTCTACTGGACACTTGTATGTGAGTGCTTTTGTGAATGCTTATGCATGAGTCACAACAGTCTGAAGGTGAAAACAACCCAAGGTTCATCAGCAAATGAACGGATAAATAAAATAAGATATGTCAACCCAATGGAATATTATCCAGCCATAAAAGAGAATAAAGTTTCGATACAGCATTCGAGAATCTTAAAAACATTATCCTAAGTAAAATAGGCCAGAAACAAAAGGAAAAGTATGATTCTACTTATATAAACTATATGTAAGAGGCAAATTCAGAGATAGAAGCCGAAGCTCAAGGGTCTGGGGTGCGGGGCAGGCCGCGGAGGAGTAGGGAGTTATTGCTTAATGTGCATGGGGTTTCTGTCTAGGGGGATGAAATGGTAAAACGTTTTAGAAGTAGTGGTAATGATTATTCAAAACTGTGAATATAATTAATGTGACTGAATTAGACACTTAACAGTATTTGAAATGGAAATGTCTGTTATACATATTTTACCACAATAGAAAATGTCATCATAATACCTCTCCTTTGCGTTTAGTCTAGAGCCCTCATATGGAATAGAATAATAAATTACCTTTTCACCAGTGATTCCAGATATCCCAACTTCTCCAGGCAAGCCAACAGGTCCCTTTTAGGAAAAATATAGTAGAAAATACATATATATTTCATTACTAGTCTAGAATCCACATGTATACTTTGTTTTTTCCTAAGTAATCCTAAATATTATATTGGAATAAATTTATTGCTAATATAGGTGCCAGCTTACGATTTCACATTAGAATTTACCAAATCTTCATCAACAAATACACAAGAGGGCTTCAAAAATTCATGGGAAAAAATGGAATGGAAAGACAATGGAATTTTTCACAAACTTTTGTAAACCCCCTTATAAGAGTGCCTAACCTGTGATAGGCACTGTGCTAGGATGCACAGTTTCAAATCACAGAGGAATCTAAGCCTAGTCTCTGTCCTCCTGGTGCTTACAGTTTCGGGAACATTACAGAACATCTTGCAGTGTTCACAGACAGGTACTTAATTTGGACACATTCAAGAAATCATTTCTGTTACTTCCTTCTTTGAAAATACCTCATACACAAAATAATAGTTCATTTCTGTCCATTCATTTATTCAGACATTATGTGGTGCTTACTTTAGTAGCTGAGATTTCATTACTAAGAAATACAGCCTCTGTGAGGCCCAACGTCTTGTAACAGAGATAAAAACAACTAAATTTAAAATTAAGCGATTATTAATAGTGCTGAAAGTTCACAAAAGAAACAACTATGATGTTGTGATAGGAGATACAGGAGACAGACATTTCCTCTGAGAACGGAAGAATGAAAACCGGACAGTCATTCACATGATGAAGGAAGGAAGACCATACAGAATCAGACTGGGATCGTCCTCCCATGCGTGGGACTTGCAGATCTTTTGGTTAGCTTTCAAACCATTTGAGCATGATACCACTGGGGCTCCTAGAGCATTTTTAAAAAATATGTCTTAAGTATGTATGTATTTATAACAGTTTTATCGACATATCATTCACACACCATACAATTCCATGTTTTGAATATATTAGAGTTGTGCAACCATCACCACAATTGATTTTAGAACATTTTCTTCATGTTTGTACTCATTGTTATAAGCTTTCCATTTTCTCCCAATCTCCCCTGCCATAACCCTAAGAGAATGTTATTCTAGTTACGGCCACTGTACATTTACCTACCCTAGATTTCATATAAGAAAAATCATATTAAAAAACCCCCAACAACAGGAACAAAATAAAATGCAGAGAAACCTCAATCCAAAAGATATCATAAAGTAATAAAAACTAGAGCAAATTAAAAATGGGTCAAAAGGGAAAATAAATGATGAGATAATGAAATTTAATTTAACTATTACCTGCATTAATTCACTTTCTGATGCACTCTGTTTGAGGGCAAGACTATTCACATCCCTGGTCAATGGTCCAAGGGAATTCAATGGAGCCTTAATTCAAGTGAGACTCTGTGAATAGATTTTGGGCTTCCATAGCCTCCTGCATACAAGGCACTCAGAATTTCAGCTCAAATACAATTCCCTCCTCTGACTTAGGTTTTATTGTTTACAATCCTTGGATCACACAGGCCTTTTCTGTGTGGGTTTGGCTGGCACCTCAATTGGATTACTTGTTTTAAGATATGCTTTTGAGAAACCAGATGCTATTCTTTCTCATAGCTGGGCACCATCTACTTTCCTTACCCCACTTTGCTATAGCACCCATATCTTCAGTGATCCCTTCATGAGGACAAGTATTGAGGACTCTCAGAGTATTTTAAGTGTAAATAACCCATGACTAAATCCTGTCAGTCACACTGCTTCAGAGAGAACAAGATTTGTATTATCTACTTTCAGCTCTAGGAGTTGTTTATTATTCCTCCTTCAAGCATTATAGAAAGCAAAAGAATAAGACAGAACATGCTTAATAGAAAAGCATGCTTTTCCTGTCTCTAATCACATGGCGGTTATTTTCTGTTTTCTTTAAAGATGTGTGAAACGTTTTCTTTCTCACTAGCCATCAAGCAAAGACACTGTTTGTTGTTGTTAGGTGCTTCCTAGTTGGTTCTGACTCACAGTGACCCTAAGCATAACGTCCCTGGGTCATCATCTGAGTCCAGGGTTTCAGCCTCTGTGTCAATCCATCTTGTTGAGGGTCTTCTTCATTTTTTTAAACTGATCTTCTATTTTTTCAGGCATGATGTCTCCAGGGACTGGTCTACAGTAGGTGAGATGAAGTCTTGCCATTCTCCCTTCCCAAGAGAAGTCTAGATGTACTTCTAAGAGAGATTGTTTTTGTTCTTCTGGAAGTCCATGATAATCTCAATATTTTCCACCAATACCACAATCTGAAGACATCAATTTGTTGATCCTCCTTATTCATTCTTCTAGTTTTTGTATGCATATGAAGCCATTGAAGAGATCATGACTTGGACCGGGTGCATTTTAGTCATCCAAAGTGACATATTTGGTTTTTATAATAGAAGCCTTTGGAAAGAAAGTTACCCAAGGCAGCACACACTTGCTCTTTTGCCTGCTTCTTGCTTGGGCATTGATTATGCTTCCAAGTAAAAGGAAAACCTTGCTTAGATAGATTATGATAGATATAATGTTAGGTTGTATAGGGCACTAAAACCATTGACACAGATGTATAAGACAGAACTTTATATTAAGAAGTAATTTTTCCATCAAGAATTCATCACAGCCCTGTCCAACTTAATTCCATGGGTCTGATGATAACCAAAGCTCTCTTCAGACTCACAAAGTTGCAGGCTGATGGTGCAGAAAGGTCATGTGATATCACAGTCCAGTGTGTCAGAGTTTCATGGATCCACGGTCAGTGGGAACATAGCAAAGTTCCCAGGTTGGTTTCCAGGGTCAACGGCCTACGTATGGTCACCTCTGGAGGCAAAGATTCCAAGCAACTTGGGAGGGTAAAGGGCCAGCGAGCGAGAGAGGTTATCACTGTCTCTCTTATAAAAAGGCTACACCCTCAAGCAATTATTGCCAGACTATACCTGATGGACAGATTGGACTCCACTCCTACCTCCACACAAGTACCATCAAGCTCACATGAAATTTAAATATCCCATATACTATTATATAGAAGGTACAAAATCATAAATAAGTGACTTGTTGCATTGAATATAACTGAGTATCCCAGGCACGATTTTCTCCATATATCTATATTCACATCTATGTTCTGATCCATATCAGTTTTTATTTAAAGAGTGATAATGGTTACACAAATATTTATAAAGTACTGTGTGCCTCATTTAATCTTTATAATTATCACATGAGCTATTACCTCAGTTCACCTTTTATACATGCGGCAATAAGTTAAGTATCTTGATGAGGTCTCACCCACTGACTCCCTCCATCCCATTAAGTTGATTCTGACTCAAAGATGGTGAAACTTTTGGACAGAACAGAACTGCCCCTGTGGGTTTTTGAGACTGTAAATCTTTATAGGAATAACGAGCTTCTTGATGAGGTAGAAGAGTTTATACAGGATGAGTATCAGTGACTATTTAATATTTAAATGTGGCTAATCCAAGCTGACAGTTGCTATAAGTGTAAAATACACAGCAGAATTTGAAAAGTTAGCACAAAAAATCACAATTATAATAACCATTTCTACTTGTTGCTGTTGACAGGTGCCATTGCACGCAACAGAATGAAACACTGCCTGGCCCTGGCCATGCTCACATTGTTCTCCTGTTTGAGTCCATTGCAGCAGTGTCTGTGTCAGTCCGTTTTGTCCAGGTCTTCCTCGGTTTTGTTGCCCTAAACTTCACCAAGCATTATGTCCTTCTCTAGGGATTGGTGTCTCCTGATAGCATGTTCAAAGAAGATGAGATGAAGTCTCCCCATTGTAACTACCAAAGTGCATTCTGGCTGTACTTCTTCCACAACAGATAGATTTGTTGTTTTGGCAGTTCTTGGCACTTCCAATATTCCTCACTAGCAGCATCATTCAAATGCATCGATTCTTCTTCTGTCTTCATTATTCAATGTCCAACTTCCACATGGATATGAGGGAATGGAAAATACCATGGTGTGGGTCAAGTGCACCTTAATCCTAAAAATAACATCTTTGATCTTCAATACGCTAAAGAGGTTTTGTGAAGCAGACTTACGCAACACAGTGCATCCTTTGATCTCTTGAATGTTGTTTCCAAGAGGATTAACTGTGCAAGAGGAAATCCTTGACAATATCATTCTTTTCTCCATCTATCATGATGTTACCTATTAGTCCAGTAGTTCGAATTTTGGTTTATTTTTTACATTAACTTTTAATCCACATTGAAGACTGCAGTCCTTGATCTTCACCAGCAAATGGTTCAAGCCCTCAACATCATTTAACTAGGCTGTGTTATTTGTATATTGCAGGTTGTTAATAAGCCTTTCTCCAATGTTGGTGCCACATTCTTCTTCATAGAATCCAGCTTCTCTGATGATTTTTTCAGCATACAAACTGAATGAGTCTGGTGAAAGCATACTACTCTGATGCACACTCTTTCTGATTTGACACCACGCAGTCTTCCCTTAATCTAGTCACACACTGCCTGTTGATCCACGCACAGCTTCTGCATGCACACAATTAAGCGTTCTGGGATTCACATTCTTCTCAAAGCTGTCCATAATATTTCTTTTCATCCATACAGTCAAATGCCTTTTCACAATCATAACACATGCGTTAACAGCTTTCTGGTGTTCTCAGCTTTTAGCCAAGGTATAGCTGATATCAGTAATGATGTCTATGGGTCCACATCTTTTTCTGAAAGTGGCCTAAACCTCTAGCAGCTCCCCTGTCAATATACTGCTCCCATTGTTGGATGCTCTTCAGCAGAATTTTATTTACATGCAATAGAAATGATATTGTTCTATAATTTAAGCATTCTGTTGGCTCCCCTTTCTTTGGAAGGGGTACAATATGGATCTCTTTCAGTAAGTTGGCCAAGAAGCTGTCTTCTAAATTTCCTGGCATAGATGAGTGAGTGTTTCTAATACTTCATCTGTTGATATATTTCCATGGGTATTCCATCAATTCCAGAGCCTTGTTTTCAGCTAATGTTTTCATTTTATTTT